TTGAAAATACTCTTTTTGATTGCTGTGTACTCATGAAAAGATTTGCTACTCCTTTGAGTATCATTAGAATTCTGGTTTAAAATAAATAAGCCACATATTTATTCTGTATGTGGGCCAGGGGAAAGACAATTTATCTATTCCTAGAGGAAAGGGAATGATAGACTTACATTTTTGTCCTAGTTGTACATTTTGGCTGTTATGGAAAATGTAACAAAAGTGAGCTTATCAGTTATATTTCTTGAGCTGCTGAAATGCAATTCTATTTAATAGTTAAATTCAACTCAGTTTATACCAGTAGTCCTAAATTGTTCCTGAAAGAAACAAAAGCATAAGGGAAAAGGGCAGTATTAGAAACCACTATAGACGTGAAGTACATGTTTAGTATAAGGTGGGCACATACACTTAATTAAGCAGATTCTTAAATACTGCCTTCATGTACTACTTTAACTCAATGAAATACTACCTGTTGGCCACACTTGTCTGTTATAGGCTCAGAGTAAAACATTTTTGATGGTAATATGAAGCTTAAACTTCATTGCACAGAGGAACATCTCATTGCATTGATCCTCCTTCTGCAAAGAGAAATAACCAAACTCATAGATATTTCTAAAATTAAGATGGAAAATGATAAATCTACCTGTATAGAAATGGCTAAAAATAATTTTTGTGTAAATAAGGTCAGCTAATTATGAAGGTTAAAAAATATTTTTAAAAATATTGTCATCAAATCAGCTTTTTCAGAATATAACTAGTGAAAATGGAAATAACTCATAATGGTTGTGGGAAAAAGTTGTCAAAAATGGAAGAAAAACTAAAAAATATTGTTCTTTTAATAAAGAACAATTTAGGAAGCTGCAGAGTTTTATTTTTACTTTGCCTGATTCAATATGGCGTGATGGCAGCATATTCTTTCAGCACGAGGTGATTCAGATGTTTGTCATGTCTGACTCTACTGACTGGCTCTGGTAGCCCACTGGTATATGTGTCTTTGACAGTTGTGGATGAGACTTCTGTTCCAAAGACAGTTCATGAAACATGATGACAGTGGTAGAAGATTGACCCCATGGTTTCTCACCACAGATTATTGTACTCTGGCTGGTGTCAAACCCAGCTTGCATTTTGTTAGCATGGTGACCCCTTCCTCATACTTGCAGGTTTGGGATGGTCACTGCTATTCCCCGTTTGCAGTGTCCAACATCTACAAAGTGCTTAGGAACCAAATTCAATTCATTCAACTTAACAGACTTTGTTTGTTCAAGGAGTTTGAAACTTAGATGGAGAAACAAAAGTTCTGATGTTATAGCTAATGAAAGCTGTAAAATACCACACAGACACGAGAGGGAGAAATGAATTTCAGTGAAGGGAGAGCACAGTTATGAAGCAGTATTCATTCGATAGTTCCGGTTTCTTGGTAACCACTGGAAATGCTGAAAGTCCCTGTCTGGGAATGCTAGACTCCACTGTAGAGGTTAAAATGGCTTTGCAGGAAATGCACACAGAGCTGTTGCCTTAGATAATAATACCACTTACCTGAAAGCTGATGGGACTTAGTTCCCCACAGGCTTGCGCTTGACGTGTTCAGAATTTTTATCTTCTTTAAGAGGCCTATTTGTTTGCATAATTTGAAATTACATGAAATGATTATTATATAGAGTAATCGTGAAAATAAAATGATAAAATTAAAACTAGCTCTTTTGAATAAGAAATTTATATCACAAATAAAATACTTGCTAGTAAGTATTCTTCTGACTAAATTTGAGACAGTTCTTTGAAATGCAGACAATCTACATTTACTTTTCAGCAAAATTACAAATACCTACCTTGGGTTGTGACCATTAGAAACAGATTACCTTCTTGAGTATGAAGAGTATACTGTACTGTCTCTGTTACTAAGTATCATTTTGGTTTTGGTTGTCTTTTCATTGTATGAGAATAATGAAATTTTTATTTTCTTCTTCGTTAGAGAACAAACATGAAGTTTGATTCCTTTCACCATGAATATGTGTAGAAGAGTTAATAGAAGGGGAGTGTTGTTAAAATATACAGGGATTTCTAGTAAGCAGGGACATACCAATTCAGGAAAGAATTCAGAATTTTCAAAATTCAGAACAGTGGTGTAGGCTTCCCAAGGGGCAAGAAAGCCAGCACTTCCTGAGTACTGTGTGCCTACGAGGTACCTGCCAGATGCTTCCCTTAGTTTATCTAATCTTAATCTCTTTATCTGTTCTATGGGGTAGTTGCTTTTCTTTCTTTTTCTCTCTCTATTACTCTCTTTTCATCTCCTTCTTTTTTCCTTTAGTTTTACTAAAGGATTTTAAAGCAAGTTCCAAAGATCATAAAATTAAAGTTCTTTGGTACCATCAAACACCCAGTGTATAATCTAGGCAAATGTCTTTCTCCGATGGGCTTATTTGAATCTGGATTTACACATAGTTCACATATCACATTGATTGTTGTATTTCTGTCTCTTTGATCTAGACTCGTTTCTCTACTGCCCCTGCCCCCCCACCTCCCCGCCACTGCCCCGCCATTTACTGGTTGCAGAAACTGGGTCGCCCGTGTCCTACAGAATTTCCACATTCTGGATATGTCTGTTTACTCCCTTGTTGTGTCATTTAATTTGTATCTTTATATCTCACATTTTCTACAAACTTGAAGTTAGCTCTAGAGGCTTGATTGGATTGAAGCTCAGTTTTTTGGGGGCAAATTCTTCAAAGGCGGGCTATGCACTTCACACTGCATCATACCAGAAGGCCACAATCTGGCGATGCAAACATGAATTGCCTTTATTCCTAATTGACTTTTCATGAGGGTTTCATCCATTGATGATCTTTGCCTGAAACAATTATTTTTTTATGAGTTGCAAAATTGTGATTTTTCTAATTATATCATATTTACTTACACATATATTTGTTGAATTTTTTATATTAAAAAAGTTCTTTTCCTCATCAGTTCAGGCTATCTGGCTACCCTGAAATATAGTTTCTACAGGAAAAACAGGATAAAAGATTATATTTTTTTCTTTTAGTTTCCAAATTTCTAGATAAGGAATTAGAGCTTTAGTGGAAGCTTTTCCCCCCTCCTTTTACAGATAGAGAAGCTGTTGCTCAGAGATGCCAAGTAAATTGTTTAAGATCCCAATTAGCTATTAAGGAGCAGAAATGGTTTTTAAACCAATATCTTCTGGCCTTAAAAGCATCTGCTATTTCTACTATCCCAAAATGCACCTTCCACCCGCCAATTGCTGACAGCTGGGGTTGCTACTGCAAATATCTCCCACTGCTTAGCCCTTCAGGAATCAGGCTCCAAGAATCCTCCTTTGCAGCATTCTGGGCTTTATAAACTTATGCAATACTCCAGAACTGTAGCTCCAAATGAAGGTGCTGGCCCGGATGGGCAAAGAACTGGGCAGAGCCAGGAAACGTGTTATAGTATATAGTAGGAGAGGCTTTAGGCATCACAGATTGTGCTTTAGGCTGCTGCAGCAGCCAAAGTATGAGTCACTCTAAGTTATGGTTGGAGCAGATATCAGTATTCCGAACAATTTGGAAAGTTGTCAGATGTTAAGATGGCTTAACATCCTAACTCTCTTAAATGTTCTCCCCTTTCTTCTGCCACCCCGACCCTCCGCCATCCAGGTTTAAGGGGAGAATTTAGCTAACTGCCTAAACATTATTTTACAATTCTGAAACCTCAGTTGACTGTGTGTGTCCTGTCATCTGGCCCCACCCGCTCCTCAGGACAGTGGCCCTTTAGTATCTTAGTGTTAAGGAAGCAGAGATCCCATTGTAAATTGGGGAGATTTTCTTGGCTTCCTGGTGTCTACGATATCACAGGCTTCTAATGCTGGAGTCCCTACCTGACTCAGAGAAAGAACATTTTCCAAGAATTCATACAACCCAGAAGTATAAAATATTTTTTAGTATCCTCCACATTTTACCTCTCTCATCAACATGGCGGTCTACATCAGAAACAAACAAACAACCTTAAAATTTCAGTTGGAGAGGTTTCTCTTGCTTACTGGGGCTAGAGGCCCTTTCTCAGCCTCTGATGTCCCATGATATACCCAATAAAGATTTTTTTTTCCTGCTGGCCTTGGCCAGTACCCAAATTCCCTAAATACCTAAATTTTATACATCAGACAAAAATTTATGCTCTCTCTATCCTTGCTTACAAGAGATTGTAATTAGCCCCATGAAAATGTGCTCTTAGCTGCAAACACAGGTTCTCTGAAGCAGTTCTTTAGAAAAAACAGGATAGCAATTCTGTAATGTGCTTTGAAAAGATAAGGTCAGAGACAGGATCTAGAGTAGTTACAAAGAATGGAAAAAGAGGATAAAAAATGTCATTGAGAGTAGTTTTCACAAAATTATATTTAAATATTAGGCTTCTTTACAGAACATCTGGCCCAGTGCTGCCCGATAGGGAGACCACTAGCCATGTGTGGTTACATGAAATGTGGCTAGTGCAACTGAAAAACTTAATTTTTAATGGTATTTTATTTTAATTAATTAAAACTAAAATTTAATGACACATGTAGGTAGGGATTACCGTATTGGACTGTACAGATCTGTCCCTTCTACTTTTTTCATTTCTCCTAACAATATATACGATTTGGGGCTGTTATAAAATTGTTCAAAAATGGGAGGTACCAATTTCATTAATCTGAGTGATGAATTTCCTTTGTAAAATTAGATTTGTAATGGCTTAGGCATTTGAACCTCCTCGTACAAAGATAAACTTTTATTATGAGACTAACTTCATGGGAAAATAAATTATGCCCAAACTTTGATTTTTAAAATGAGTGTGAATTATATACTTTAGTGGTGATGGTTACACAATGATGGGAATGTACTTAATGCCACTGAATTATACACTTAGAAATGGTTAAAATGGTAAATTTTGTTAAATATATTTACACAATAAAAAATTTATGCTTTATTTTCTTTCATTAGGCTTGATTTTAATTTAATCTTGTTAAAATCTCCCACTGCCCATAGGCCTTGCTGAGGATCTGGTCCTGCACATTCCTGGCTACAGCGTGTTTCAGTCCAGTGAGGCTGACCTGCCTGAGATGTGCACTCTTGACCTGCCTGGGCCTATTCACAAGGAGGGATTTCAGTGCGCTTGAACCTCACCTGGGAGCTGCACCTGCCCGAAGATGTGGTTTAATAGGTTCTCAGTAAGGTTCTGTTCTGCTTTGTTTTTAAACTTGATTATAGCATCCTGAGATACCCTTAGTTTGGCCCCTCCTGCATTATAAATTACAGTTGGAGCTTATTGAATTGGGTGAGGGTCTTCTCTCAGCTGATCAGAGAGGCTAGAAGCCCTTGTTAGATATTTGATGAAAGTCCCCCTAGAGTGATATTCAAGACATATGATGAGCCTTGCAGCATGGCCGCTGGTGGTGAGAATGATTGTAATCCCTGACCCTGGGGTAAGATCCTGGAGGCCTACTGCTATGCCAGGTGTGAGGTTGTATCCTGGGGTTTGATGGAGACAGTTGGGGGATAAGGACTTGGTGGGTGGAGGTTACTTTTAGCTGGTAGGAAAGTCTTTCAAAAATTGACCATCCAGTGTGGCCAAGTTGATGCATATAGCTGGAAATCAATTCTACAGGCACCTGAGGAAAAGCTTTTCTAGACAACAGGCTTCTAGAACTGAGAGAACAGACATTGCGAATGGTATTATCCCTTCCTCTTGATCTCACCAACTCCTGCTTCTTTTTGTTTCTCCAGCACTTCTCTGCCCTCCGCCCCTCACCTCATGCATAGGGCTTACTTTCGGTAAAGGAGTAGGGCTCCTCTCCATACTCCAACCCCATTTCCTACACTTCACCATCCTGGTGTCATTTATTTGAGTCTTAATCTTTCATTCCCAAATATCTTCTGTAGGGGTCACAAACTAAACCATGTTAGGTAACATTTTGGTAATCTGTTAATATCTCAGCAGTTACAACCAAGACTGTATACCCTAGAAGCAAGAGGTGAGCAGGCATAAGAAACACGTTTCCTCATGGCACAGCTCTGCTGCGGTTACACAAAGGCCTTTCGTTACTAAGCCCTGCTGCAGAATTCTGCTTTCAAATGAATGGTGTCTATAATCGAAATAGAGTCGTGCAATAAGAAAAGCACAAGCTTTGAGGCTGTGCTCAAATCCTGGCCTTACCATTTTGGCTGTGTGACCTCCGAGAGTTCCTTAATCTTATCAAGCTTCCGTTCCCATATCTATGAAATAGACCTAATAATTGTACCTCCCTCCCTGATAAGACTGTGAAGTTGAAATAATGTCTGTTAAGTGTTAAACACAGTACTAAAGGGCCGTTTTTTTCTTCCCTGTAGAGAGGAGGTATGTAAAAAAGTGATTATAAATGTCTTTCCTTATTTAGTTGTGGAAAAAGGAAGAAACTGATTGCTCCCTGCCAATTTGAACATCACATATTTCCCCAGGATTTCTCTCACAAATGTAGAAGTGTAAGTTTTGTGACTAAATGCTCAGAAATTTGTTTCCTGGTTTCTAATTTGAGCCTTACTAAAGACTGAAGGGATTATACCACAAACCTCATCAATGCAGTGCTGGGTGACTGAGTTTACGGTCAGTGGACGGGAATTTGAAATAGGGCTCCGTGTGTTAGAGGCCAGGAGAGCTGGCTTTAGCGTTAGTTAGGCAAACCCTTGAGAAACTTAATTCTCATTTTTCTGCTGCTGTGAGAATGTATGAGTCGGTATTTGGGAAGAACTTTAATCTGATATAACAAGCATATCTGAGTTATAAAGACCACATATTCAAAATTGGTACCAATGTGTTTAAAGATGGTATTTTCAAGGCAATATTTGATACTGGTAAAATGTAGTTACAGGCACTCATACTGCTAATGGTACTATCACTTGATATATATCAAGATGTCTAAAAATGTATATGGCTACTTTGCAAGAATTCTAGTTCTAGTGATAAATCCTAAGGAAATAATAAAAAGTCTGTGTACTTATGAACAAGTATGTTTATTGGAACATTTTAAATGTTCAATATTTGAGAATGGTTAAATAAACTATGGTGTACCTAAGTGAAAGACTATTATGCAAGCAATTAAGTGTGACATTTTGAAAGAATTTTTAGAGACATGGAAAATACAATATAAAGGAGAGCGAATTTGTAGTTAATTAATTAATGCAACAAATATTTATTAAGTACTTAGTATGTGTCAGGTACTATCATCAGTGGGCAAAATAGAATTTATATATTCTCAAAGAACTTACATTCCAGTGGACAAGGGGTGAGGAGACAAATAACAAGCTTAATAAATAATGAATTATATAGCATGCTAGAAAATGATAAATGCTGTACACCCTCCAAAAAATCATGGGTTTGAGATGGGGGTGAATTGCAGTTTTAGATAGGGTAATCCAAAGTAGGCCTCATTGTGAAGGCAGCATTGGAGCAAAGACTGGAAGGAGTGAGGCTGTTAGCCATGAGGAGGTGTGGACAAGCGTCTCAGACGAGGGAATAACCAGTGTCAAGGCCAAAGGATATAAAGTAGTATAAACAGTATGATCTCAATATCATAAAATATATATATACATCTATTTTATTTATCTCATATTTATAAGAAAAACAGTTTTAAATTTGTAATGCTTCCAACTTATTTTCATAATTTCTCCAAATCAATCTTGTGGTTATTTTCCATCATCTTTCATAATGAATAGTTATTAAGGCTTATTAAGGTTAATTTTATAAAAGCTGGATTTAAATGCATTCATTCAGATTGGATTTGATGGAAGATTCAAGATAAGAAGGAAAAAGTAGCACAACTTTTCCCCCACATGTCTTTTTTTGCTAATATTTCCTGACAAGCAGTAAAAGCCTTAGTTTATGCAAAAAATCCCCATGAAAACAAGAGTGGCTAAGGTTAGGCAACTGTTGTTCATCCAGAGGCCCCTCATTTAATAGGTGCTAATAGCAGAAAAATAAGACGTTTCAAGGAGGAAGAGTGAATATGGAATGTGGATAAATAATTAGTTTCTAATACTTCACAAGCCAGATTGGAATTCAAGTTTAAGACACACGATTAGCCCAAATCTCAGGTTATCTTATTTGTACAAATTCTCCCATAAAAAGCATTTATGTTGGAAGGAGGAAAATGCTTTTATTTTTTACAGTAATATCTATTGAAGTAGAATTTATATCACCTCTGTCATTAGGGTATAAATGTTATTTATCTAATTTTTCAAAGAATTTAGTTCCCAACAATGGTGATTTTCCTTATTTTTAAATTTAATGTCTTTATATATTTTTACCTTTTTTAAATCATATCAGTTTCTCAACACATTTTTCCACTTCTCCCATCAAAATAGAAAAGCCTCAACACATTGTTGCTGTTTATTTCTTTTCCTAAGAAAATTAAATAGAAATGATTGGTTATCAACTGAACACTTACTGTTAACTTTCCAGTGACAAATTAATCTACACAGTATCCAAGAGGAAGCAGAATCTATAAGGGAACAGGTTTCTGTTTTGAAGTTCCCTGAGAATATTATAAACAGAAGAGAAAGAAAGTGAGCTCAGAAATGATTAACACTCTTAGTCAGTGCCAAATACACAAAATCTTCTAAACCAAATTCTTTTTAAAAGTTTGTAGTTGGCCAGCTCGTGGGGAACATAAATAAGGGCAAAGCAGTAATAGTCGATACTTTTAGATCTATAAATAAATACTTTATACATATAAATTTAAAAACCCTAAACATTTATGGGATAATTTAAACACTGCTGGCTGATATGTTATACGAATGGCCTGCATATACTGTATACATCATTGTTTAAAAATAAAGGGACGGGGACAATTCTTTGAACTATATAGTTTTATATGATGCTTTAGGAATCATAGATGGAGGTAATTGGTACATCTTGGAATTAGGGACTTCTGTTTAGTTATTTAAATGAGTTACTGAGTGCTGCCCCTGCTACTTCTTTCTCTGTAAATAAGTGCAGCATCAGGCACTTTTCTTAACATTGAATGGTACAATTTACTCCACACCAAAAATTTTACATAATTTTTGAAAAATAATTTCCTGTTTTAGAATGAGTCTTTTAAGTTTTTAGGAACCTGTTTTCATAGTTTTCTGTGTTTGCTTCTAGTTGGGGTGATGGAAGATGAAATTCTCATCGTGTAATTAAGTGCGTAACCTGTAATGGAAACACGAAGGGCTTAGGCACTGCTTCTGCATGAACTGGTGAAGGGCGCTCACTGTGGAAAACTTAGAAGGAGACAGGCAGGCCACCTGAGGTTCCCCTTCATGGGCTGGCTTTATTTCATGACGATGTTAATGTATACCTACTTCTACGATTTCCTCCCTGGATTATTGCTATTCTGAAAGACTCAAAGTTGAGAAACTGAGGCTCACAGTTCCTTGCAGAGTGGGAAAACATCATAGCCATTTTGGAGAAAAACAGCTGAGCAAAGGCAGTGTCCTGAAGAGGTGGAACTTGAATTCGGAGCCCTGGGGAGCCATTCCCAGCCCTGTGCTGCATGGTTCTCACTTAGCTTTCTTTGCTATGGATTTGGCCACATGCATAAGAGTCCTGCATTCTTCCTGCCATGGAAGCAGCGGACTTAGCAATTATGCTTGAGTTTTATGGCTTTAGTCATCAAATGTCCTATTTCAGCTGTGGTTTCTCTGTAGTGCATGTTCTAAAAAATTTAAAATACCAATATGTAATGATGACTAATTGCTTTTGGTGTAATAACTGTTTATATTTTTGAACCTGAGTTCCAAGTCTGTTGCCTTGCTCTGATTGTTACTCTGAAGCAAAGATCACTTGCAAGCTAGGCTTTATCTTATTTTAACCTTCTTCGTGTTTTTATACCCAGCAACCTGCCTTTGTCCCTGATAGTCAGCAGGTTTTCAGTAAAAACCTGTTTGCTGAGGGAGCTGTACATCAGTCCACAAGAATTCAAACTGAAATGTAATCCACAAATTTGAAGTTATTTCTTCAGATATAAAAATACCCACTATCTCAAAACACCACCTCAACTTTCTCCTCACACATGTTTTAATATTAGCCACCAAAGAGGAGTTTAATATAATAAAAAGAACTTCTAAAGACACCTCTAAGCAGCTTCTGACCTCCTAAAATGATGCTCTTTCTACGGAGGAAAATATGTAGAATCTTTTTACCTTTAATTGATTGA